TTGATATTTTCAAATGTAAATAAATAGATCAAAAACATCTTTAGCGTGAGTCACTAATTGAAATTTGCTTCATTAATTCATAGTTAATTAACTAAGATTAATTGGATATTGATGTCGGGTAGGTCATATGATCCTAATGGAATCACATGTCCCGTCCATGCCATATGTGTGATTTGTTCTTTAATTTTCTTACTGATTGAAGTATAAATAAGCACACAATTTAGACTCCTTTACGAGTCCCTTCGCTTCATAAAAGGGCCGTGCCTTTGCATTGAGCGTGCAATGATAGAAACTTTTTTTTCACACTTACTGACCTACCACACCCATTTTCTAATGTTTTCAATCGGTTTTGGTATTTTAGGTAAAACCCGCATTCTAAAAGCTGGGGTCGGCATTGCTTATCATCAGGGGAGATTGGGGCTGACTAAAGCTTGAACCAGGTCTTGAAAATAAAAATCAAGACCTGAAACAAGCCTTGAAATCGATTTTCAAAACCTGGTACCTGGAGATCACTGATGAAGGAGAGGATTGCATTCTGCAGTTTTAATTAGCTCAATCACTTTAATACAAAGTTGAATGCTATACTAATGGGAGTCTTTTCCCCTGCCATCTCTTTTGGTGGTTTCTCATCTAGAGACAGTTCTCTTGATGTTGCTTCTGATCTTGATGTTCATTCTCTTTTAATTTTTTTGCACCAGAATCATAGAATATGCCAGATACATTTAATTATTTTAATTCTTGTTCTCTTGATCTGAGGCGTTTATAGGGTTAGGGTTAGGGTTTTTCCCCAAGATTTTATAACTGTTATACTTGTCTTTTCGCAAATTAGCTGCCCATCTACTCCATGTTCATACAATCGCGTTGCTGCTATTGCCCGAAGACAATGATTGGTCCTATGGCCAGAGAGTCCTCCAGGATTCGCATAATCGCTTTAYTGTTGACCCCAGTTCCGACTTTCCTGCTTCTTTCCTGTTTCCATGTTTCGAACAGATTGACTGCCCGATTTTCTTTATAGGTAGTGTTCTTTGGAACGGATTTGTTYSAATGTACGTCATTTTGCYCAAATATCTCGAAATTTTAAGTTAAGATTTTATTGAAACTTCGTTAGTATATCAATTATTTTRTTAAGAAAYGATTCTTAAAATTTTATTACAATCTCTGCGATGAGTTTTGAGAAAATTAATTTTGAAGAAAAGTGAAGTTGTTTTTATTTTGCATCGTTTATCCAAATAGCTTCGCTTTTTGGCAAATTAATTTATCAACAAGAATTATTGATAATCGCTGTTACTTCTGTGAAAATGTGAGTGCAATGGAATCGAAATTTGCGACGTAGTTGGAGTTTAAAAATATGCGCGAAGACCTATTTATTTTACGATCGAAAGACCTTAAACTTTTCGTGCTCTGCAAACCGACTCTCAGTAGAAGATTCTGCAGGTACTTTATTTGGTGATGCGCTAAAGGAATTTGGCTCACTTAACCCCAAAAACGATTCAATCTTGACCTTGTGGAATTCTAAATCAATAATAATACCCATTTAGCTAAACCACCGGTTAATTTCTCGGTTTTCCAGTTATAGATCGGCTTTGTGCGTTTTGAGAACTCTATATATACTTCGACTGAGCGAAAAAGCTTTTATGCACAGATCATAAAAGACAACTTTCAAGAAATCCTAAAAGACATTACTTTCCATTGACTTTGTTTTGTTAAAAGGGTTGCTTGTAATTTGAATCATTCCCAAGAGAGTGGCTAAGATAAAATCACCGTCACAAAGGGACAACTTTTTGAATACCACAAATAAACATCAAATCGATTGCAAAGATTGATCTTTATAAAAGAAAAATTCATTCACTACGCTCATTTTAAGATTAGTTGATCATGGATATACAAGTTGAAAGAAGTCCAAAACCTCTTGAAAATAATAGAAAATGGGTGTGGTACATCAGAAAACAACTTAAAACAACGTGCTCGGTCTGCCATTGAAATTCAAGACCTCGGGCCTGCACTTGGTTTTTAACCTATATCTACAGACAATTATTCAARGGTATTTATCATTGCACGMTCAAGGTTCATYCCAATTCAATTTTTAAAATATGCACGYCTTTCGAGATTGCGAGGGGARCCGCGAAGAAGACTCTTAAAAACGATCTGATCATAAATTCGATATTTGAAACTAGAAAATTAATATCACTTGATATTTCACGGTATATTACAGCTAACCCTACCGCTTATTTTGCGCGCCTCCTATTACCGCACAGCTCCATAACCGCACGCTGCAAATCGATAGTAAGCCAAGGTGTGGGGGATTATGGAAAGTAATATTAATAATTGGTTTTGGTTTTGTTACAAGGTAATTGCAAGCCGTTTACAGATGATACAATTTGATATAAGTAATACGAAATATGGTTTTCTCTGGTTATATAAGACTAATGTACGGTGTAAGGAGTCACTGCTAGTCTCGCTAGTCGACTGTATCCATTTAACGTAACAGAACAAATCAAGTATGAAGGCTATCGTGGTCATTGCCATTGCTTTCTTGGCCATTTGCTCTGGTAAGARCGAAAAGTATCTTAACAAATAATTAATTCTTTTTTTCAATCAATTCTTTTTYTATTGGAAACTTTTTATTGCTGCAACCTGCCTTTTCTTTATCTTACTAGTCACATCCGATTGTTCTTATGGATGTTTTTTTTATCTAAGCTAGAAAATAAATCAAATCTGGTTGCCAATAACAGGTTTTTTGTTTCCCGAGAATCTCATTTTTGGCGAGGCGAAGTCGAGTTCAAAGTATGCAAAAAATGTTGCCCATTCGGTCAACTTTTGATTTTAGCCAATGTCACGTTACCCCGAGATGTCCAATGACGGCGTGAGAAAAAGAAGAGAAGATAATTTATCTATATAACATAGACCATGTTATAGTTCACCACGTCTTCTCGTCACGAGAGAATGAATGTCATTACCAATTGCAATGACATTAGTTGCTTGATAATGTATGATGTTAATAGTATGTAATAAATGTATTTATGATATAATTATCGATAAAATACCTGTATTTCTCCATTACTTAAAGCTATTAACATTGACCATTTGGTGCGGCTTTTATTGTAATATACCTATGATCTATCAGGGAACTCGGTCTACAATCTCAGATTTGATGAGCTGTTAAGAGCGCCAGAAGATACTTCCCACCTTCAAGATTTTGAAAAAAGKCGTCAAGTCGTAAGCGGTAAGCCATTCTTTGCTTTTATATATATATTTAACAAATTGCGCACGGTTTTGAGTAGCATGTCCTGTTATTGACACACTCTAAGAAGCAAATTAGCGCGAGAGAATTTACATTTTACATTTCTTTACATTTACATTTTGTATTCATGTKGTATTTAAAGCATTTATGTTGTATACCTAAAATATATTATCATACGTACTGATCGAAAAAAGAAGTATTTTCAAAGATCGAGATTATAATTGGTTATTTTAGATTATCATTCGAGCGATCTTTCGAGCGTTTCTTGCAGCAGGGGATTCAAAAACTTCGCACGTTTGAAACAGTGAGGATTTTAGAAGTGATTTTTCATTTGATATTTGTGCCAAATCGGCATCGAAAGCATCCAAAATGCCGGACAGACGAAGAACAACATACACAGCAGAAGAAGTCCGTGGAAATTCCCAGTGACAGCGATGATTCTGATTTTGAAGGTGAAGAGGAAGGCTCGAGCAGTAATGGAGCTGAAGTAGACTTCAATCGAGCGATTCAGATGATAATATTATCAAATGTATGCAAAAACGTCGATAAATATACTGCATTAAAAGCTCATTGTCTGTTCTTTACAATGATATATTTCTTGCCAGCTAATAGTTTTTGGATGTTTTTTAATACTTTTTTTAAACCTCAGGGTGGGAAATTTCATAATTTCGCCAAAAGTTCTGACAGAATAAGGGTTAAAGGTTTGGTTAAGGTTAAGKTTAATTTTTTCTTTCCCAATAAAGAATGTTCGAACTATAAATTTGGGTGCTGTCCTGATGATAAAACCCCACGTAATGGCTTTAAAAACGAAGGATGTGGAGGTGAGTATGATTATATTTATTCAGTTTCTTGTCTTCAGTTCGTACTWCTTTCTGTCTGTCCATCTMTCCAAAAGCTCCTAATGTATAAATACAAACGGTTGAAATACATACTTACTCAATTTTATGCACGCCTCCATGATAGTAGTCGTTTCAACCAGTCGGAGTCAAGTTACCAAATTTAATAGTATTGTATAATTAACTCCAGTAATTCAAAACAATTTCTTTTACGCGTATGGCATTTATTTGTTTAAAATAACTATTAAAAAAAACTTCCTTGCAGCAACATTTCATTTCTTCTCCAAGAGCCTAGTAAATCATTCGTGAAATTGCAAAAATCGAAATAGTCACAAAATTTCAATAAATCTGCAGCTGAAGCGAATCACTTTTGAACCGCCATTGCAGCCATTGCTGTTTATGAGCGCTATACAGTCAACTCTCGCCTTACATACACTTCGATATTACGGACACCTGGATATTACATACTGAAAATATTGAATCCCCAGCGAAACTATACAAAGAAATGACTGAAAGTAACTCCGCTTATTACGGACTGTCGCTACTTCGGACATTAAATTACGGCCCTGGTGTCCATTATAGTGAGAGTTGACTGTGTTCGCAAAATTAAACAAAATATGTACACATGCAGGTTTGTGTGCCGCAAACAGCGATAAAGGACAATCACGGTATTTAGACAGTTGCAACGAGAATGCCTAAACTACATTAAATTTTCATTGTATTCTGTAACCATATAATAACTCCWTATCTAATTAATTATATATAAATTTCAGAAAAACTGTGCATCGATGAATCGGTTTCTGATTGCGAGAAAGCTACCCAAAGCCAATGTCATACTTCTCGAACAATCTACAAGAAGTGTCATTACAAATGCAACCCTCAGTGCAGAAGTAAGTTTGATCACCATCAATTCTTCACATGTTGAATTATTTAAATTATTTAAAACTAATTAATTAATCTAAGTTGATAAAAAAATGACAGGATTGATTAAATTGCGAAAGGATTGACTGCAAAAAACCTGCTGCATACAGCAACAACTTTAATTTATATTACGTACTATTAATATCGATTTTTTTTTAATTGAATTAGAATTTTCAATTGAGATTTATAGAAATCATTTTTTGAAATATTTGCCAAAAASGATTTTCGACATAATGCGATTTTCGCTGCCTAGGTAACGTTTATGGAACTAAATATTATGCCAAATAAAACTTTGGTCAATGTTTCAATACTGGTTAGAACACCAATTTTAAATCGGTGCATGGCAAGATTTTMAAAAAAAGCAAATTTAAAAAGGAGAGGTATGATTGAAAAAAAAAACTGTTTGAAGCCACCTTAAAACTATAAAATTTCATATGGGGTATATTAATGTAAGCTATATTTATWTTATCTGCATTGATATTTAGAATCTGCGAGTGCGAGATGTAAGAGTCCACATGGGTGTTGCTGGAATGGATTACCTAAACTGAGTCCCAACAGTAAATGCCCAGGTAATTATATGGCAGACAGTAAGTTTTTAGAAAACTCTTCGATGCTATTGTAAACGCGAAGAAAAAAACGCGCACTAGAGCTGTGAATGTGTTGTAAATGTGATGTAAGTGTCCAAAATGATTTAGATTTGATATAAATTATTTACATCAAGTTTACATCATATTTACATCATTTTTTGACACTTTGCGTGATTTTTTTCCAGTACTTTACCATTCATAAGCAAGGATTTTAGTACAATGAGTCATGGGGATTTTTTAGATTGGGATTTGTCTACCGTGATTGGGTAAAAAAACTTTATGACTGGGAATGGGATATGGCTATTTCTTGCTTATAACTATATCTCTTTGTTAAGCTAAAATTATGTTCTAAAATGATTGATTTGTCTCGTTTTCAATACTCCGTAAATTTTTGATATTCTTAACATTCTAGTCGTTACAATATTGCATGCAGTACAATGCGTAGACTGCGAAATATGATCTAGTCTCATTTTTCAGCTATTGACCAATCAGCGAGTTGCCCCTTGAAAAAGTAACTAATGTTGAACTAAAGTTTGATCATGATCACCTGAATGTCACCCGTTTTGCATTTCAATTACCTAAATAGAACACTGATATACTATATGAAATGTTTTCTCATCGTGAACTACTTTAAATAATAATAATAATTGAAAAATCACATTTGAATTTAAATTGTATTTATAATCAACTAATTCTTCTTCAGAATGTATCGACAATCCAGACATGTCTCACATCTGCTATCAGTTCAAGGACGTAAGCGCAGGATGTAATTCTGGTTTGCTTGGAATCAGGGATTTCTTACTGAAACATTGTCCCTTCACTTGTGAACTGTGCAGCAAATATTAAAGAATGTTAATTTAACAATCCAAAATCGATATAGAATTGAGTTAAATCGTACTGATAAGGCGATGCGCAGTCCTCAACATACTGAAGACATATGCATAGCATTTTTTTTTCATAAAAAGAAGTTAGCTCCCGTGACAGACTGATAATAACCTAATATAGACTAATACAAAATGAAAGCTCGTACCTGTACTTTAGATATTTCAATTTAAAAAAAAAATAGTGTATTTGGTTATAGAAATCCACTAATAAAGAATAAATTAATGATTAAGAAATAGTGAGCCCTCTTTGTCGTTGTTGTTTTCTTAAATCATTACATTCACGATACTCATTATTTCACGTTATTGTTGTTGTTGCAACATACCAGAACAAATTACTTCCATTAGCTATAGTCACGTCCAATCCTTTTCGAATACTTAGACTCGAATATACTCGAAACAAAATATAAGAAATTAAAAGGACCTTTTGCAGGACGTACTTTTGTAATAAGGGGTACATTTTTTGGAGGGGGAAGGGGGGTCAACATAATCGGTAGGGGAGGGAGGGAGGGCATCTTTCACCTAAGAAACATAATGTCTTTTTTAAATAATTCTTTTTCTTAGTTYGGTATTTTACACTACCTTTATCAAACGCACTATATACCAGCCAACCTCTTGACAAAAGAGATTCCCTAATTTGGGGTTTTGCTAGTTGAAAGGCAATAACAACTGATTTGTACTGTAAGGTGGTATGTGGTAAACATTGGCTCCATTTAGTCGCCATTTCTATGCAAGGTGAATCCAATAAGTGAAATTTTGTTTATCAAAACAGTGTAATCATAGTCCCTTTCGGTCGTGCAATCTCTCTTCGACAATCGCCGTTCGCCGTTCTCCCCGACAACGTTTTTTGAAATAGCTGTATATGGCCGCTCTACGTACAGTATCGATCACTCTTTTCTTTGGAAACCGACTATTGTCCGCTACATACATACATATGTTTTTTATTTGGAGTTTTACACACGATGGTACATAGACTTGATTCCAAACAATATAAGAGTATATATAGATAAATATGTTTTTTTACAGATTGCTATTTATACCATATTTTGTCAAACTTCGCGGAGTAAAGCATTCATAAATATACTTTGCTGCTTGCGTTTGTAATTTATTTGCAGGATCTATTAATTAATTGTAGAAACAATTACTCCTCCACAATAGAATCGTGAATGTTATTTTGATTCTATTAAAATAAATCTCTAATCTTAGAGTAAGGGGAACATAATCGGTAGGGGGGGGGGGGGGGTGTTTTTCACCCAAGAAACGTGATGTCTTTTTTAAATATTTCTTTTTCTTAGGTGGGTATTTTAAACTACCTTTATCAAACGCACTATATACCAGCCAACCTCTTGACAAAAAAAAAAAAGATTACCTAATTGCCAAATTTTGATGCTCAAAAAAAAAACTTTCCGGTTGAGACGTCTGTATAGCACACACCAATGACGTCATTTACTGATTAATTAATATTAAGAAATAGTTCACAGCTGTCGAATGTATGCATCGTGTTATGGAGTGGCAGATGAAAAGTTCCTTCGACCGCTCTTGAGAAAGGTAACAAGTGTAAGGATTGCAAGGGTTAATACGGAGAGATGTACTCGATTGCTATTCTTAGTTTAATTATGAATGGATAATACAATCGAGGGGGACATTGGGGGGCTCTGAATACTGCAATACCGCAAAAAAAATTCAAAAATACCGCATTACCGCATGAAAAAATCAAAAATACCGCATACCGCAAAAACGAATATCGATTTGTCAATCCTTTGGAAGCCCATGAAAAAATGACGAATCGGTGTGTTGTTTATCAAAAGTAATAGCATGGCTCTGAGGGAGATTAGGGATTAAATGTGCCCGAAGCCGAGGTCAGATTATACTCCAGAAGTTTAACTTAATAGCACTTTCAACACATATTCGATTCTAGCCTTGATCTGTTTGAACCTTATCAATTAATGTAAACATCTCGACCGAGAGAAGCTGCGAAACAGTGCTGTGCCAAGGTAGCTCAAGCGTATCGTGCATGCGTAATGAAATGGCCCCTTGTTGTTTTCAAGACAAAGTTAATATATCTCACATGACTTATTTTATAAGAGAAGGACTTAAAATAGCTAAAAGGTTGTTTACAAAATTAGAGGTTTTTAACTACGGCGAGCGACAAACATWGCACAGGAGGCGCACAAAGACACAGGAAGCACATCAACTCAAATATCAGTGTAATGTCTAAATTATCCAGTCTTTCGAGGCCAAATAAATCAAAATGGCACTAAAAAAGTTTGGAAGAAAGCACGTTTGGAAATAAGCAGCTTTGTAACGATTCTGGTTGAACGTTAAAAGCCATGGAGTCCATCTATTAGTTACTACCCTACCCTGGTAACAGAAGCTGGTAATTTATAATTAAAAATTATTTACCAGTAATTTTCTTATAATGCCTCCATGGTTTTGAGTGGCGGCGGGTGAAGAACGCACGCTTTGTATGTTGGCCATACTAATTTGTGCCCAAATATGTTCTTTCTTTCAATCTGAGGGGCGGAGCATTTCGAAAACTCGTTCAATGATTGG